GATACAATTCGTTTATGAAAATATATACATTTAATAATATTATCAAATTATTCTTTATTTTTTAATTATTATCAAATTACCTATTCTAACATCAGAATTTTGTTCTTTTAAAGGTTGAACAACATCTTTATTAGACTTACTTGTACCCTGTCCCACAGTATTATTTTGTGCATTTGTTAAGGAAACCACCTTCTCGTCTGATGTCTGAAATATTAATATTTTCGATACAATTTAATATAAAGCGTTGCTTAACTTAAGACATTAACTATTCGTATTTACCTGTTTGTTGCCTATATTCATCTCATTCCAAAGTTTCGTAGATAACGAAGGACTTGTTGTTGCATTACTTGTACTTAAATTTGGATCTTCTGCTTCCTCAGACATGGTGGTGCGTCCAACAACTATTTCTTTTTCGGATGTTGTTAAATTATCATAACTTTCTTCGTTTGATGTATTGGCGGTATCACGTTCTTCATCCACAGCAGACGGTTCAATATTAATGAATCTAAAAATATGATAATAAAACATTTAATGTTTAATATTAAAAACGAAGGTGTAAAATTATTTTTCACGTTGTATCTCCCCTTACCCATCTCTACTTAATATTCCTAAAGCACTAAAATCCTCCATTTTTATTTGACGTAATTTCTCTTCCTTCGCATAACTTTTTTCTATACTATAATCATCGCCTCCATTCCTAAGAATTTCAACTCTTAGTATACCGTCGCGAGGCCAATCATCTCGTATATGTTCTAAACAGTTGGTTGGCGCTCGTGAAAATACTATATGAATATAAGCTAACACGAAAAATGCGAGTATAGCCTGAAAATGTACAAATACAAAATGCTTAGACCGTTAGACAAGTACAAATAATTAAAACTAGCTATGGAAATATAAATACCTTTAATAAAACTATAAATTCTATGAATCTTCTCACAGGCCTTGGAAATGTTTTTGCATAAGTTAACGCAGCTTTGATAAATATTGCATGAAACAATCTATCTCGTACATTAACTAACGGATTTTGATTATTATTATTCCTAGCAGTATTCATGTTGCTTAATAATGATCTTGCTGAACTACTTATGTTAAAAATATTATGTACAGCTGCACCGTTATGATTATTCCTTATTGGTATTGCAGCACCATCCACTTGTGGCATTCTAAATATCATGTATCCTTTTCATGAGTTAGTAAGTCAGTGATCCTTACTCACATAATGTGTATGCACAACATTTTCCAAAAAATAGCTATGCATTTTTTGTATGTACATTTATAAATAAAGATGAATTCCTTAATATTCTGGAACAGATAACATTGATTATGCTAGACTTGAATTAGCATGTATTAATGCATATTCATAGATGTTGCAATCATTGCAACATCCTCATTCGTTATCTATTACATATAGTATGAAAATGATATGGTAGATTTTTTATACAAATCATTGTTGTGATCAGCAAGATAAATTTTGTTCTAGTTATACTAAGCAAGAGATTGAAACGACGATCTCTATAATAAATGTATTACCAACATACATGTAGCATAATTGTCTTTTCAATTTTTATTCCATTCAAATCTACATACTTAATCCGTCATTTTTTATTGCATTTAATATTAAAATTTTAATAATACTCAACATAAAACATAACCTACAGTGCAAGTATGTATACATCATAACCTATTTGACAATCGTGTCCTGACATCATAGATGAATAATGATATTTAAAAATTTCTAGTATAACGTAAAGAGAAAAACATTTTCACTTACACTGTATATAGTTCTTAAAATAACTGATCGATGAAATAATTGGTATTTCATTACGTAATTGAGAAATATGAAACTTGTACATAACGAAAAGATTTAGAAAGTATAGAATATTTTGTATTTTCGCGTGGTTTCATGTTAAAATAATCATTATTCACCGGACATGACATTTCACAGCTGGCAGGCGATTTGCTAAATTTTTACGTAGAAATCAACCATACTGTACCTTTTTTTAAGAGGTGATCGTTGCTTTACAGTATTGAATATCTAACGTTTTATCGTTCTCCTGTATTGCCACTGTAGATAGTAATATACATTTGTAAAAATACGCGTTGCGAGTAATAAGAAATTTGATTCTCGTCAAATTGTCACTTCATCATCATATGTTTTGATATTCTACAACTTGCATATTGAACATAGTAGTTTTTTTTACTGATCCAATGTAGCCAACACTATATTACGAAAGATAAGACCAACAAAAAGTGTTACCAGTCTGCTCCGTTCGATTATCTAAAATCTAAACATTTTTTACTGATTTACAAACGCTTAAAAACAGAAAACATTTCAAATTGCTTTATTACTCCAGTAATGAAGTAATTCAGTAAGCAATATATCACGCATGTGAATATGTATTCTATTACGTATTCTAAATATAATATCGATGTTAATTTGACATGTCATAAATTCAAGTCGAACGCAAATGCTCGAACTGACGAAAGCTACTGAACAGAAAAGTAACATTTTGAATTTTATGAGGAACCAATACATAATTATATGTACGTACAACTTTG